TTTGACGTGGTTTTGCACGTTTCTTTTTCTTCTTTTCTTTCTTTTTTTTTTAAATGAATCACCGTGGGGTACTGTTACAGACTTACAAATTTTTGTGCTTACGTTCCAGTTATACAATGATCGAGTACCCATCCCTTCACCAATGCTCATTCTCCACCACCAATGACCCCGGTATCCCTCCCACCATCCCCCCCACTCCACCCCCCACCCCATCCTGCCTCTGTGGCAGGGCATTCCCTTTTGCTCTCTCTCTCTCTCCTTTTGGGCATTGTGGTTTGCAATAGAGGTATTGAGTGGCCATCATTCGGTCTGTAGTCTACTTTCAGCAAGTCATGATGCAAAGTCTTCTTAATCAGTTCCTTCTGCTGTCACCAAATGGATGCTCACATATGATAAAATGAGCTGAAGACTTTAGAAGTATAATGTCACCAAATCAATCTCATAGTTGTTAACTGCAACGACAAGGTAAGATTTCCCCAAATCAGCACTGTGAAAAACCACTGACCAAGAATCAAAATGTTTCCACACCTGTTCTTTATATTGGAGAGGCAGTTTGGACTCACTGAATGTGAGAGACCATGTCAATATACAAAAGGGGAGGAAGGTCCATCACAATGATAGTGTGTCACTTTCCAACATTGACTTTAAAATGTACATTGTTTTAAGGTCACAGTGTAGGAAACCTTAGTTGCCATAAGAAAGATGTGAATCGTTTAGTATGTTCTTAGAAACGTGTCACGAGATGCCTTCTGCATTGTATGAATGTGCATAAACACACAGCCATAAACAGCAGACTGCTGTGCACTCAGGCTGTGGGGTACAGACCACTGGCATCACTCCTCTTAGACACTGGGACCATCATTGACTCAAACATTCAGGGACACAGAGCTGTACTCAAAAGCAGTGGTTTTCACCTTTTCCCACCTGCTGTTAAAAATCACTGCTCTGATGACAGGTTAAAGAAACTTTGGTACATCTACACAATGGAGTACTATGTAGCTGTTAGAAAAGATGAAGTCGTGAAACTTACATACAAGTGGTACTACATGGAAAATATCATGCTAAGTGAAATGAGTCAGAGATAGAGAGAAGGACAGACAAAGAAAGATTGCATTTATCTGGGGAATATAAAGTAACAAAATAGGAGACTAACTCTCAAGAATAGCGGAGATAAGTACCAGGAGGTTTACTCCATGGCTTGGAGGCCAGAAGCACATGCTAGGGGAAAAGGCAGCTCAGATAAAGAAGGGAGCACCAAGTAAAGGGTGTTGGGAGGATCCTCCCAGGATGGGAGAAGCATGCTGAAAGTAGATTATAGACCAAACATGATTGTCACCCATTGCCTCTTTTGCAAACCACAACACCCAATAGGAGAGAGAGAACAAAAGGGAATGCCCTGCCACAGAGGCAGGGTGAGATGGGGGTGGAGTGGGGTGGGGGAGGGATACTGGGATCCGTGGTGGTGGAAAATGGGCACTAGTGGAGGGATGGGTACTCAATCATTGTATAACTGAAACCCAAGCACAGAAATTTGTAAGTCTACAACTGTACCTCGTGGTGTTTCACTAATAAGGATTTTTTTAAAAAATCACTGCTCCTCAACATGTATACAAAAAAGTAAGCAAACATCTCCCTTTTATTTTATTTTTTTGCTTTTTGGGTCACACCTGGCGATGCACAGGGATTACTCCTGGCTTTGCACTCAGGAGTTACTCCTGGCGGTGCTCAGGGGACCATATGGGATGCTGGGAATCGAACCCGGGTCGGCCGTGTGCAAGGCAAATGCCCTACCCGCTGTGCAATCTCTCCAGCCCCTCATCTCCCTTTTAGAACTATATTTAGACACCTACAAAAGTAAGGCAGACCTATTGTACAAGGTCTACAGGCCATTTATTTTTAAAAACTCTAAGTTTCTAACGCACATGCAGAAAAACAGATATCTTAAGTGCACATAGCCCTCAGATACTCACCACTCAGAAGAGACCAACTTAAGATAAATACTTTTCCTTGGCCAAGCTAACTCCTTGCCTGATTTTTAACTTCATGCAGACAAGTTTTGCCTTTTCTTATACTTTGCAGACCTGGAATCACACACATTTTTGTCTGAATTCGTCACTTCACTATTATGAACTTGAGCTGCGGCTGCATGCATTTCTAGTTCATTCCCTCACGGCATTACAACATCCTGGCATGCAAATATGACACTTCAGCCCATTCTAGCCTGGTCTGTGCTAGAACTGAACTTACTTTTTCCAGTCTTACAGCATGAATATTCCAGTTGAGTGTTCTGATAGACTTGTACATACACAGTGGACATAAACTTTTGTTAGATCGGAGGAAAATGGCACAGGTTCGAACTTAAGTGCCAGCTTCCAAAATAACCCTATCACTAAGCAACAAAAGCCCTGCTGTACGAATCCTGGCCGAAATTAGCTTCTTAGGGACTGGAGATGATACAGCAGGTAAGGTGTTTACCTTGCATGCATGACCCAGGTTTGATCCCTGGCACTGCATATGGTCCTGGGCACCACTGGAAGTCATCCCTCAGCACAGAACACAAAGCTCTGGGCGCCATCAAGTGTGACCCCCAAACTGGGAAAAAATTAAAATTTTCATCTCTTTAGTGGCTACATAGTAATAGCAAGTTTGAAGTCTGTTACTCTGGATAAAACCAAGCAATCTTCGTGCTTTTTGGCCAACTCGAGATTGTCTTTACCATGTGGTAGTTCAAGGGTTTTGCCCATTTTCCTTGATGGTTTGATCAGGGGTTGGCCTACTGTTCACACCCACATACGGATGGTTCTCCCGGAACACAGCACTGTTTGTTCAGGTGGACTGCAGGGAAGGCTAGGTCAGAACAGCCAAGTTGAATGGCTGACAGAACCATTCTTACCATCAAACCCAAATTCCATCTGGCCCCTTACCAAAGGGACTGATCGACTTCTCTACATTCGAGAGCTGACAAATGACAGTACCTCCCCTGTGCTCTTTTGGTCTGCTTTGTTTTGGGGTCACACCCAGCAATGCTGTTTACTCCTGGCTCTGAGCTCGGGAGACCATATGGGATGCCAGATGGAACCCAGGTTGGTCGTGGGTAAGGCAAACGCCCTTCCCTGTACTCTCTCTAGCCCGTGTGCTTTCTTAATGTATCTTTTTAATAAAATTTTAAAAGTATAGCCAGATTAACATGTTTTATTTTATGGTTTGGTGGTTTTTTTTTTTAAGTCTTAAGAAAAAAAAACTCTTACTATAAGGGTACAGTATTATTTTTGTTTGAGGGGCCACACTCAGTGATGCTCAGGGGTTACTCCTGGCTCAGCACTCAAGAATCACTCCTGGAGGTGCTCAGGGGACCCTATGGGATGTTGTGGATCAAACCCAAGTTGGCTATGTGCAAGGCAAGAGCCTTACCGCTGTAAAACCTCCCCAGTCCCAGGATACAGGGTATCAAGGGTTTTTCCCCCCTACGAGCTTTATTTCTCAGATATGCAATCCACTTCAATCAATATTTGTCTTCCTGGGACTCATGGTACCCGACAAAGCAGTTATTGGAAAGCAGATTATTTTCCCCATTATAACATATGCTTAAAATGAAAAAGTCTATTTGTATAGAATTGTCTGAAACATTGATTCCATCTGAGTTTCTCTGCTGTCACAGGTCTTATTATGTGGAAATTTAAAATCTCTAGCTATTACAGAAGGTAGTCCTTCCTGTTACTGGCCTTTTGAACTTTTATGCAATTTTCGGAATTAGCTTAATTTTCATCCAAGCATGTGCTAGAATATTAAGACATATCCCCCAGTGATCCTGTCTGTATAGTGTGTAGAAACCTTTATGTCCAAAATCGTGTCATCTGCAAATAGGTTTTATTTCTATCTAACCTTTTCTTTTTCTTCCTTTGAGATGGATGATACCAAAGACGACTGATAGATATTCATATCTTTTTTCCTGGTGAGAGGCCCTTTCAACATTAGGTACCATATGTCATAGTTGACCAAGCTCTTTATGCAAGCAGGGAAGTTACCTTTTATCCATGCTTTGCAGAGAACAGAGATAGATGCCAAGCTTGTCACATGATTTACAGGGATTGACTTCCCAATACTAATACCCTCCCACACTTGGTAAAAGAACCATCTCACATTAATTACATGGTGATGAACTCTCTGGGGTCAGGTGAGATGTGTCTTTTCACAAAAGGTTTTTCTACATTCCATTCCATTCCATTCATAGGGTTTCTCCTTCTGAATGAGTACTCAAATGTATAGAACTCAGTTTTAGCCTTTTCTTCCTGAACATACCCATCTCCATTTTGTCTGCCCAGGACTGGAACATGTGATTACTATGAACAAGTTACTGAAATGAGAACGGAACTGTCATGACTGAGGTTAATCAAGAGGTACCCTATTGGTTAGACGCCCAAGCTCTTCTAGAGAGAAAAGCGGAGGAGATAGTGAATTAACCAACAAATGTGCTCTGGAAGTGCATTAACTCTTCCCCAAACACTGGGAATAAGTAATGAGTAAAACCATGACACCGTATTACTGTCAAGGGAGATAAAGGATGTGGGTTACTAACAGGGTCGCACAGCAAGCACTTTACAAGAGTGGGTGGATGAATGAGGCACGTTTCTTGTTTATGAAAATACCCTTCGAACCTTTTCTTCTGTTCAGACGCAGTTGAATCTTTTATACAAATCACTGGCTCCACTATTGCTGAGATATTCATTAAAAATCCATCTGCAAATGCTCCTAAGGATAGAAAACTATGGTAGAAAACACCTCGCCAATGATATATCCTGCTAATACAACTTTGTCACCTTAAGCCAGTGGGAATACTGCCTTTTAGATGACTTAAATCTAAACAGTTAGAACTGCATAGAATTGTTAGATTGCATTTTAGAAACACTTCATAGAAACTGGCACACGCCTATTTATTAATGCTACAGTCCTCGTCACCAACTCCTGATGAATTGAAAATTTCACTTTACACAATAGTTTATTCAGAGCTGATAGCATCTGGTATATTTCCTATAAACATTTTTTTTTAACAGAAATATGGCTTTTACTATTGTATTTTTTAAGACAATATTTCTTCCACATCCACTTGACTTCTACTTGGTACAATTCCCTGATTTTTAAGTACAATTTGCTTTGCTTTTTTTTTCTTTTTTTCTTTTGGGTCACACCCGGTGATGCACAGAGACACAGGGACTACTTCTGGCTCTGCACTCAGGAATTACTCCTGGCAGTACTGGGGGACAGGACAATATGGGACACTGGGAATCAAACCCGGGTTGCCGCGTGCAAGGCAAACGCCCTACCCCCTGTGCTATTGCTCCAGCCCCTTTAAGTACAATTTGAATGAAAAATCAATTGTTCAGTTGCTGTGTTAGTTACTAAGTGCTCAATAAGTTGTAGGACTTGCTAAAGACTTCATGTTTTACATTTAAGAATGTTCCACTGTGAAAAGTTAAGATAAAAATGAGCCCAATGCCTAAATTTCTCCAAAAACCCGATCTCCTTCCTAAACAATACCCAACTCCCTACATGAGATTTTCCACATCAAGCATGGTCACGTTGCCTCTCCTGTGGATTCTCTGATGGCTATTGAAAGCTGACCTGTGGTGAAATTTTTTCCCACAGTCATTACATTCATAGGGTTTCTCTCCCGAATGAGTTCGATAATGTACAGTGAGGTATGACTTCTGAGAAAACACTTTCCCGCATTCATTACATTCGTAGGGCTTCTCTCCTGAGTGGCTTCTGTAGTGGACAGTGAGGTTTGACATTCGCGAGAAGACCTTTCCACATTTACTACACTCATAGGGTTTCTCTCCGGAATGAATTCTATGATGTATTGTGAGATAAGACTTCTGAGAGAAGAATTTCCCACACTCATAACACTCATAGGGTTTCTCACCTGTGTGTACTCTCTGATGTCGAAAGAGAGAAGAATTATGGGTGAAAGTCTTCCCACATTCACTACAACCATAGGGCTTCTCTTCTGAGTGACTTCTATAATGCACAGTATAGTAGGCCAACTCAGAGAACAATTTCCCACATATGTTACATTCATAGGATTTCTCCCCTTTTGGGAGTGATGGGAAAGCTGCATTTTCTAGGAAGGTTCTTCCACATTCATTACATTCATAAGGTTTCTCTCCTAAAGGAGTTGTGTGATGGTCAGGGAGACAGAAAAATGGAGAAAACTTTCCACACTCACTACATTCGTGGGGTTTCTCATCTGTGTGTACTTTCCTGTGTCTAATGAAGGCAGAATTTAAATTGAAAGTCTTTCCACATTCATTACATTCATAGGGCTTTTCCTCTAAATGACTTCTATAATGTATCGTGAGGTACGACACCCGAGAAAAAAACTTTCCACATTCGCTACACTGATAGGGTTTCTCTCCCGTGTGTATTCTCTGGTGAGTGATGAGGGTTGACTTTCGGTAGTAGGATTTCCCACACTCATTACACTTATAGAGCTTCTCTCCTGTGTGTGTTCTCTGATGATCACTGAGAGCAGACTTGCGGGAGAAAGATTTACCACATTCGGTACATGGGTAGGGTCTCTCGCCGGAATGATTTCTCTGGTGCAAGGTGAGATGTGTTTTTTGGCAAAAGGTTTTCCCACATTCACTACATTCATAGGGTTTCTCTCCTGAATGAGTTCTTAGATGCTGAGTAAGATGTAGCTTCTGACAGAAAGTTTTCCCACACTCATTACATTTGTAGGGTTTCTCTTCTAAATGTGATCTCCGGTGCACAGTCAGGGTTCCCTTTTGGCTGAAGGATTTCCCACAAACGTTACACTCATAAGGTTTCTCTCCTGTGTGAGCTCTCTGGTGTATAATAAATTTTGACTTTTTACAGAAGGATTTTCCACATTCACTACATTCAAAGGGTTTCATTTCTGTTTGGGATTTCTGGTAAACATTAAACTCTGACATCTGGATAAAGTCTGACCCAGAACCACTCCACTGACAAGCAGACTCTCCTATAAATGGGTTCTTATGAGTAAGGAAAACTGCTTCGTTGTCTAAGGCTTCCATGCATTTATTGTAGTCAAGGGGCCTCTCCAAAATGCTCACTTTCTGAAGAATACTTCTCTCGCTTTGAGAACAAGCCTCTCCATTTGGAGTAAATCCGTATGATTTTTCTCCACATGCTTTCTCACATTCACTACACCCACTGGTTTTTGTCCTTGAATAACTCCCATCAGTAATTATTAATTCTGAAGCAGAGTCTATGTTCTTCCCACAAGACACACAAGTGTGAGATATCACGCCAGAAGAAACCAAACTTTCCGTGTCAGCTTCGTCAACTGCAGGCCCTTTCCCTTCACTTAGAATTTTGCTATGGGTGCCAACAGCTTGCCTTGAGTGTTTGTCTTCACTGTCCTGGATCCTCTCTATCAGATTGTCAACTCTCTGGGTTTTTTCTTGAAAAAAGAAGAAGAAGAAGAAGAAAATTAAACTTTGAAGGCACAAATTATAACTAGGACAGGCATTTCGGATCCTATGGTGTGACTGACTGGGATTTTAGGTCCTGCTCCCATGAACAAACTTACTAGTGTACACAGAGCTTCTTTGTCTCCTGACTTGTGACATGACACAGACACACATACACACAGGGTGAGAGAGATGTGGGTTGGGGTGGGGGGTGAGGGTGGGAGAGATGGGTAAAGGTTGTAAGAGCCACCTGGTGGCAAGAAAGGAAAGAAACTGGATGATGAAAGAGGAACAGAAAAGTCTAATTTTATACAAAAACAAGTTTGCAAACAAGGTAGAGTGGCCTAGTAGGAGCAGCAATGCAAGAGAGAAAGAAAAGTGCAAAGTGCAGGAACCAGGATGACTTCTCTACATGGACACAAAGTTTGCATGTAAATGGGGGTCACATGGCATGGGGGTTCCAGGAGACAGGACTGAAGGAACATTCCCAAAAGTCAGTATTTCTCTATCTGTCTGTCTATCTTACACACACACACACACACACACACACACACACCACACTCATCTCTCTCTCTCTCTCTCTCTCACTAAACCCCTTGACTAGTTTTACAATGTGATAGTCACTAATTTACCTGCATGATTCTGACAAGTAAATTCACATTCTGCTATCCAGGGCTCCTCTCCTTGCTCCAATTTGATGATGACATTAGGTTTAGTGCCACTGTACCCTGAGTGAGAGACAGAGCTTCAGGATCTGAGCAGAAGCAGGAGCAGTCCCCCTCCATGTCACAGAGGCATATTAGGACGTGACCTCCCCACTGTTCACCTTATCAGAACTGGGACCTACTGAAATTCTCTACCTAGACGGATGGAAGGCAGTAAATGGTGTTATTGGCTCTTTCTTTCAGTGTGAGGGTGGAAGTCTGCCTGTGGAAGGCCCCATGCTCAGACTCAGAGCGCCCCTCACCCAGGGAAACAAGGTGGCCGTAGCTCTCCAGCATCACATCCCTGTAGATTATCTTCTGCTCGGCGTCCAGCTGCCACCACTCTTCCTGGGTGAAGTCCACGGCCACGTCCCAGAACGACACGGGCCCCTGAAACACCAAAACTGGGTGATACGGACAAGACACAAGTGATGCAATGTGAACTGAGCTCCCGGACTAGCCACACAAAGCCCATGCACTTCTGCTAAATAGCAAATGTCAAATGAGACTGAAGACACGCCCCGGGGACTGTGGGTCTGCAACTATCCCCTCAATAGATACGAGAGAAGCAAAATGACATCATTAGTTGGGAAGATCACATCACCGATCAGTTATGGCCTTCAAATGGAAACTCAGAATTCAAGAATTACCAACTGAGAAAAACAGCCTAAGAGATAAGGAGCAAGATGACATAAAACCAAATTCATAAGGAAACACTTTTTTCGTACTGACTCATGTTTTATAATAAATTAAGCAAGATACTGCTTTGATGAAATGAGAACATTCTCCCAAAAAATAGCCAGGGAGGAAACCAAAGGCTGAATTAAATTTAAAACCAAGCTGTTTGAATTACAAATGGGACAGGGACTCGCTACTCAGTGTGTCTCACAGAAAATGGAAACAGTGGGCCAAGACCAACTGACTCCACATTTTCTGAGAATATGGGGGGGAAGGGCGGGCAGGGAGATGGTTCAAAGGGCTAAGCACTTGCTTTGCACACAGGAACCCTGGGTTTGATCTCAGGCATCTCATGGTCCTCCAGCACTGCCAGGAATGACCAGAAGTACTGAGGTGGGTGTGACCCAAAAACACTGACAGAGAGAACAGGAAGAGAGAACAGTGGGGACTGCAGGAGAGCATAGGAGGCACCAGAGTTCACCTCTGTCACCAAAAGGCTTTTTTGCCCACTGCTCTGGCCACAGGCAAGGACCATAGAGGTGTGAAGAAAAAAGTGGCATGAGCTTCAAAACACAGACAAAACCACAACTGCAGAAGATTCCAATCTGCCTGACCTGCTCTTCCAACAGTTGAGACAAGTGCCCACGCAGGAGGAAATGGGAAGGCTAGAGCAGCCCTCAACCACACTCCCCGATGCACATTTCTAGAACACCCCACACCCGCAGCAGAGCAGCCGGTACTCCCCGTGCACCCCCCCTTTCCCCCAGAGAGGATACTCCCGGCCACAGTTGAGGGGCTCTTGATTTGTGCATCTGCTGTGCACGAGTCACAAAGAACCCCGACAGTCCGTGATCCACAGGCTCCTGTGAAGAACTGGCCTGTGTTCTCCTGAACAGTCTGTGAAATGCCTGTGAGGACACTGAGAAAGGATTCTGCCTTTTACCAACTGAAAGTTTGCAAGAGAAATGCCCTTTTGTCAGGAAAGATCCGTTAACAGGACTAAACACAGTTACTCCCAGAGAGAGCCGAGAGGGTAGAATGCAATCTAGGACGAAGGCCCCGGAACTGCTGGACCAAGGAGAACCATCCCACCCACCTGAGCATCAAACCGTCAGAGCCCTAGGCACTAAAGCACCACAAGAGGAAGGCACCAGGCCAGCGGTACAACACTTGCCTTGCACGTGCTGACCCCAATTCAACCCCTGGCACCCCATTGGATTCCCCCAAGCCCTGGTGGGGCCTAAAAATGAAAAATAAGAACCAAAACCAACAGCAAAAACACTGCAAGGGAGGCCTCCTAGACGTACTTTGTTATTCTGAGGCCAGAGACAGCACTCACGGCCAGAGAAAAGATGTTAATGGGGTCAAAGAGTCTGCCTTGCTTATGGTCACCTCAGCTCAATCCCTGCAACTTCATGACCCCCACACAACAGGGGCAGCCAAAAAGTCTCCTTCGACCCCACTATCAGGGTACCCCAGGGAATGCCCAGCACTACAGGACTCAAGAAGCACTGTATGCATCCTTACCCCAAACCCACAAGAGAAACAGAAAGAGAAGTACCAAGACTACAAGCAAACTTGAAGATGAATTGCAGATTCAACTACTGTAACAACAAAAGAAGCTGTACCATGAATACGAACCGGAATCCTTACTCTCAGGAAACGCAATCTGATCTGAAACACTCCAGTCTCAAAGGACCTGACTTACCACATCGGCTCTGAAATAACTGAAGGAGAAAGAAAAAAATACTCACAGACTGACCATGATCAAGCAAGTGTGGGATGAGAAAAAGCAAAGGGGAATGGAGAGGCAGTGGAGGAGTTACTTGCATCCATCCCAGCCCGATTGAAATCACCTGACCGCAGGGGCTGGGGCGACAGCACAGCTGGTAGGGCGTTTGCCTTGCACGTGGCCCACCCGAGTTCGATACCCAGCATCCCATGTGGTCCCCTGAGCACAGCCAGGAGTCATTTCTGAGTGCAGAGCGAGGAGTAACCCCTGTGCATCATCAGGTGTGACCCAAAGAGCAAAATCAATCACCTGACTGAACATGGTCCTCCGAGGACCACCAGGGGTCACTCTTGAGCCCAGAGCGAGGACTCTGAGCACTATCTGGTGTGGCCCCAAAACCAAAAGGAGGGGGGAAAAAAGAGAATATTTCCCCCTCAAATCCTTGCAACTTTCCTGAAACTCTGTAGTTTTTTCAAAATAATATGTTGAAAAAAATGCTAACAGGGGCCTACGCGGTACCTTAAGTGATAGAGCAGTTGCTTAACACGCGGAAGGCCTGAGTATGACCCTCAACACCATCACTGCACGGATGCCTGAGCACCGAAGGGGGAAGCACGGTAGCCCCTGGCACATCTGGGGCCAGTTTCAAGCTGCAAGGCTTGGGCACTGGGAATAGCCACCTCCCACCTCCTGCAGAGAACCACTTGATGTGCTGGGGGATCTGTGAAAAACTGCTAAAAAATGGGGACGAATGTAAAGCAAATTATCACAGGGCCTCCAAACATCCTGTACTCTTGTATATAGGCCTGGATTTTCATTACCAGAGTGAATCTGGAAACGTGTCCATCTGTCTAAATGATTGTCTGGGTACCAGGAAAACACACTTTAGTTCTAGTAACACCACAGGCCTGGGCTGCTCTGTGTACCGACCAGACGGTCCAACAGTTATCAGAGAAGTCAGCCCAGGCCTAGCAATTTTAAAGGTTCTGAGCCCCAAGAAATCTCCCAAATCCAAAGATGCCAAAACCCACAGGTAGCTCTTATTGACAACAGGCATTTTTTCCAGGGGGCAGTTCCCATTTCTTCTTACTGCAATAACAAACCAGCCTCCAAGTGACACCCCGGATGCCAGCATGAGCCCTGAATGTGGAAACACCCGTGACGGAGACACGGGCTGAGCTGCCCTCACACTGGCTTTCCCATGCCCACTCCCTCCTTCACCAACAGCACCCCCACTCCACGGGCAGGACAGGGCAGCGGGGAAAGTGCTGCTTGCACCCACCCAGCTGACCTGAACTTGACTCCCAACACTACCCTTGGTTCCCAAAGGAGAGACTCCTCCTGAGCACAGAGTCAGGAGTCAGCCCTAAGCACCACCAGAGGTGGCGCCCGAAAAACAAAACACAAAGGAAAAAAAGAACCACCTAAAAGGAGGCCAGAGCAACAGTACAAGTAAGGCCAGGCAGAGACCCAAATCCAAAAAAAGAAAAAAAATTAAAAATAAAATAAACCCAAACAATAAAATATAAATACAGCACAATCCACATAATCTATTCTGCATCACGGAACCAAGGGGCAGCTACAACGCAGGGAGACACACCTGAGATCCACTCATTTTCGGCTGCTGGGGGATATCTAGATGGTCCGTCACTGGCTGCACCTGAGGAGCAAAACACAAGGCCACCAGTGAGAGGTGTGTCTGGAGGGACCTCGCACCCCCTACAGCGCCCCAAAGATGGCACCCTGGGAACACTACCGAGGGCAAAAAAGCAACACACACACACGCAGTTCTTCCGAACTCCAGCACGCCCCGGGCACCGCGATGAAGCGGCCGCAGGCAAGTGCCATCGCTGACCCTCCGAAGTTGTGGGGGCTATCGACAGTCCAGCCGGGAGGGCGCTATCTTGCACGCACCTACCTCGATTGGATCCCTGGCATCCACCAGGAATGATCCTCGAGTGCACAGCCAGCAGGAACCCCTGAGCGCCGCGCACGGGAAGGCAGACAGGCGCTCCCCCCAATGCAAGCAATGGCAACTGCGTGACTTGGCTTAAGGCACCCGGCTGGGCCCACTGGACAAACGTCCTGGCTCAGCAACCAGCGATGCAGCGCAGGGACCTCGGGCGGGCTCGGACGCGGACCAGCGGGTACACCCACTGCCCCTCCGTTCCCGACCCGCAGCCCGGACCCTCCGCGGCACGGGGTCCCGGGGCACGGAACAAAGGTGCTGCCGGACACGCCTCCGCGGAGACACGGAGCCTGAGGGCCGGTGACACCAGCCCACGGGGAGGCCTCGCCACGCTGCACCTGGCCCGGCCGAAATGTCGGGGTTGCAAACCCTGACCTACCCCGCAGGCATCGGGCCGGCCCCGGCGGGCGATCGGTGTCTGGGTCTCCCCGCCTGCTCCAGCTCGCACCCAATGGCCGCGCTCGTGCCTCGGCCGGGCGCACGCGAAGGCGGGTCCACCCAGCCGGTCCCTCTGCCCGCAACGCCGGAGGCCACAGAGCAGGCCAACGGCAACCGGGCGCTGACCGGAAGCGGGTCGCGCGGCGGCAGTGCGCCTGCGCGAGCCCACACCTCGGAAAACGCCCACGGGGCCGCGCAGGGAGCCTCAGGCCAGGACTGCATTTCCCGGCAGGCAATGGGCCACCACGCCCTGGAAAGCCTGACCCAGGGGGCGGAGCCGGAGCACCCAGGGGAAGGAGCTGGCCTTCTGCGCAGGTTCCATCCCCGGCACCTCAGAAGGTCCCCTGAGCGCCACAAGAGCAATCCTTGCTTGCAGAGTCAAGGGTTGCAAGCCCTGAACACCAAACAAGAATGGACAGGGGAAAAAAGCCACCTAACATGGAAAGGAGAAATGAGAGCCTGGCAGGCAGCTGTCCCAATCCTGCAGAGCAGGGCGGGGAGGGGTCTAGGATGCACATGAAGAACTCAGTACACTAGTACACACGTACACACACACATTCATTGCACGAGTGTTTTGGTGGGAGCTGCAGTACAAGGGCTGTGGGTTCTAGTCCAGAACACAATTGGGCAGAATCCGAGTCTATATTCCAAAATCGGACATACACACACCAGGCCCACTGCAGAAATGCCACCTAGAGTGGACGTCTCTTATCTGTGTCACACACACATACACGGAGGCAGTGTCCCATCTCCTCGCCCCCAATCACGAGCAGAGGGCAGATTTGAGAATCGTGGAGAACTAATCGTGAAATTCTGCCAATGCTCACGAGTCGGCAGCTGTCTTTGGAATCGTGTGCAGCACCATCCCAGCACCCACAGGAGGAGGCCCAGTCAGTACACAGCCCTTTGCTTTCTGTTTGTATTTGTTTTTATTCAGTTTTGTTGTTGTCGTTTGTTTCTTTGGGGGCCATACCCAGCAATGCTATTCCTGGCTCTTCATTTAGAAATTATTCCTCGTGGTGTTCTGGGGAGCATGCAGGATGCCAGGGATCAAACTGGGATTGGCCACCAGTATGGCAGGAACCTTACCCACTGCACTACCTCTCCAGCCCCAGGAACTATCTTTTGAAGAGTCAGATAAATAGTACAGTAGTGGGTAGGATACCTTCCTTGCACAAAACTGACCCAGGTTGGATCCCTAGAACCCTGCATCCCATATGGTACCCCAAGCCCTGCCAGGAGCATCCCTGAGTGCAGTCAGGAATAAGTCCTGAGCACCACTAGGTGTGACAAAAACCAAAAAATGTTCAAAATCCTTTTTGTAGAGGTGTATAAAATGAAAAAATTAGTATTTTAAGTAATTGTGCTAGTACACTGCAAAGTTCTTTAGCGCGTGTGAAACTCCTGGGTTGGATCCCCAGCACGGCCAAAAAACGAGAAACAAGGATCATACCCAGCGTTTTTCAGGGTGTCCTTCTGGTTCTCTACTTAGGAATCACTTCTGGCAGTGCTCAGAGGACTCATGGGGTGCCAGTAATCAAACCCTGATTGTGTGCAAGGCAAACACCCTATGAGCTGTATCACAGCTTCAGCTCCAAGACAAACATTTCTTTGGGAGTAAAATAGGGTCTTCTGTATCAGATGGTATCATGAGAGGGGGCTGGACAGACAGGCATAACCACACACACACACACACACACACACACACACACACACACACAATGTATTTCTGACTCTGCACTCAGGAATTAGTTCTAGGGGTACTAAATGGGATACTGGGGATCAAGCCGGGTCAGCCTATGGCTCAACCCCAGCAGCACGCACCTTTAAAAGCACCAACAGGGCCGAGCCTGTCTTCCCCGGGTGGGTTCTTGGGGGTTTCTGTCTTTCAACTGACTCCAAACTCCTATAACCTCCTCCCAGGCCCCTCTCATCAATGTCCCCAGGGGAGAAGTGTGGCACACAGTGTGGAAAACAGGGATGTAATCCTGCAGACTGGTTTGGGATCTGGCCCGGGGCCAGGGCCACCTATGTACTGCCCCCTGACTTCTGGAGAAGCCCCCTGGCAGTTGAGGGTTTTTTTTCAAACTCGTTGCTGGTGGGGGTGCAGGGGGTTTCTGATGACATCAGAACTTCCGACTGTGCTGATTGGAAGATCCCAGAGCTCCAGAACCTGAAGCTCAAGTAGGCAACAGTAGCCTTTGGCTTGAGAGCCCAAAGCCTCGTCTGCTCAGCTCCTCGACGGCAGGCACTGCTGTTATTGAGGGAGAACCTGAGCTATCGGGGGAGAGAGTGGACCTGGGATGGCCAGCCGTAGGCAGAGTCCTGGGTCTGAGCCCCAGAGCCCTGAGTCCAGCACTTCAGGATACCCCCTGGAGGTGGCGCCGGAGGAAATGATGCCGGGACCTTCAGGTAGTTCTTGGGGCCAGCGGGGCTGGGAGCTGCGCAGACAGGAGTGTTGGGGAGACACTGAGAGGTCGGAAGGAGCGGCACAGAACAGGCTCTTGGGGTATGGACTGACAGCCAGGACAAGGAAGGGGAGCCGGGATGGGGGAAATAGGGAAATGGAGGTGCCCCTCTGTGTCCCCAGGGAGAAATTCTACCCTGAGGAAGAGACTGAAGGTCACAGGGGTGTGGACCATGATAAGATGTGTGGGAGAAGATGGAGAAAGAGAAGCTTGGGGGTCTGGGAGTCCATGGGCAGGTGAAGAATTGCTGGGACTGAGTCTGGTCTCTCCGTCCAGAGTCCTACGGAGGCCCCTGGGCCATTGTTGATGGCCGAAAGAGGAAGAGGGAGCAACTGCTCTATGAAGAGGAGTTGGAAGAGGAGGAGGAGGAGGAAGAGGAGGAGGAGGAGGAAGAGGAGACCCCTGGAGTACTGGAGATGATGAGCCATGCTGCAGGTGTGCCTTCCCGAGGCCAGAAGAGGAGGATGTGGTCATGGCCGGAGTTGGAGGAGGAGCAGGAGCCGGAGGATCCAGAGGCGCTGGAGAAGGTGGAGGAGGAAGAGGAAGAAGAGGGGGACGCGGCCTCCCAGGCTCAGCACAGTGGGCTTCAGGCCAGCCCCCGGCCTCAGGGTGCTGTTCGGAGGAAGAGGGATGAGTCGGAGGACGAGGAACAGCAGGAGGACGAGGAGCAGCCATGTGGGCTGCACAGGAAGCGGCAGCGACAGGAGAGCCCCGTGCTCCCCGAGCACCACCAAGTCTTCCAAAAGCTGCTGGGTAGGAGCCCCGGGCCCGAGTCTCCCACCTGGACACAGGCGGTCGTTAGGGATGCAGTGCCCCATGGTGGGGAAGAGGTGGCCCCTGCCCGGACAGGGGCTGCAGTGCCGGGCTGCCTGGGCTGAGCCACCCAAGGAAGGGTCTCCCCCACCCCTACTCCCACCTGGGGCTGTGAGGGGCCCAGTGTTGCCGTCCCGACGGTGGGGAATATTGGGGGCGGGCTGTGAATTTGAGGTTCACAACCCCGTCTTCCCACAGAGGACTTGCTGTTACTGAGTCTGTTCTCTCCTTCAGAATCCTACGGAGGCCCCTGGGCCATTGTTGGTGGTCGCAAGAGGAAGAGGGAGCAACTGCTCTATGAAGAGGAGTTGGAAGAGGAGGAGGAGGAAGAGGAGGAGGAGGAAGAAGAGGAGGAGGAGGAGGAAGAGGAGACCCCTGGAGTACTGGAGATGATGAGCCATGCTGCAGGTGTGCCTTCCCGAGGCCAGAAGAGGAGGATGTGGTCATCGCCGGAGGTGGAGGAGGAGCAGGAGCCAGAGGAGCAAGGGGAGCCGGTGGAGGAACAGGAGGAGGAACCGGAGAAGGTGGAGGATCCGGAGGATCCAGAGGCGCTGGAGAAGGTGGAGGAGGAAGAGGAAGAAAAGGGGGACGCAGCCTCCCAGGCTCAGCACAGTGGGCTTCAGGCCAGCCCCCGGCCTCAGGGTGCTGTTCGGAGGAAGAGGGATGAGTCGGAGGACGAGGAGCAGCAGGAGGACGAGGAGCAGCCATGTGGGCTGCACAGGAAGCGGCAGCGACAGGAGAGCCCCGTGCTCCCCGAGCACCACCAAGTCTTCCGCAAGCTGCTGGGTAGGAGCCCCGGGCCCGAGTCTCCCACCTGGACACAGGCGGTCGTTAGGGATGCAGTGCCCCATGGTGGGGAAGAGGTGGCCCCTGCCCGGACAGGGGCTGCAGTGCCGGGCTGCCTGGGCTGAGCCACCCAAGGAAGGGGCTCCCGCACCCCTACTCCCACCTGGGGCTGAGAGGGGCCCAGTGTTGCTGCCCCGACGGTGGGGAATAACCCTTCCTCCTGGCTGGAAACCGCACTGCAGGGTTGGGGGTGGGCTGTGAATTTGACGTTCACAACCCCGCCTTCCCACAGAGGACCCTGTGATCAAAAGATTCCTGGCCTGGGACCGGCACCTGTTGGTCTCTGATAAGGTACCTGTTGGGGGTCACTAAGCCACTGTCCCGGGGACCCACCAAGCTCACCCTGCCCGGGTACCTTTGCTCTTTTTGCTCTTTGGGGGGGTGAGCGTAAAACTTGGGGGCCACTGGATAGGGGAGGTGCGGTCACTGATGCAGCTCTTCGCTGCCCACTCCTGGGGCACAGGCACCCCAGTCTCTCTGGGTCGTGTCTCTGGGGTCCCTCTCCTCTTGATTCAGCAAACACCCACAAAGTCCTCCCCTTCGTCCTGCTTCCCGAGTTCGTGGATCTCCTTCCCCTCCGCCCAGCCCTGGTGACCTGTCCCCGTGTCTCCCCAGTACCTGCTGGCCATGGTCATCGCCTACTTCAGCCGCTCTGGCCTCTTCAGCTGGCAGATCCGACGCATTCACTTCTTTCTGGCACTGTGAGTACTGATCCCAGGGAGCCCCGACACAACCACGCTGGGACCCCATCAGCCTCCATCAATCCCTGGGGGCCCTCCGCCGCAGCTCCCTGAAGGAAGGAGGTAGGTGTGAACACAGGTGGTGTGCTGTCCACAGCTACCTGGCCAACGATATGGAGGAGGACAACCAGGCACACAAGCAGAACATCTTCGCCTTCCTGTATGGCGACAGCCGCCTGCAGCGGCCCATGTTCCACCGGCTCCGTCTCCAAATGCTGCGCTCCATGGGCTGGAGAGCCTGGGTGAGCCGGGAGGAGTGCGAACAGGTAGGACTGCTGGGGGGCGTGGAGGGGGGCTGTCCGCAGGCTGGAGAGGCCGAGCGATTCAGCAACATGGGCCCCATGTGTCTTCGCAGATCCAGGCCTATGACCCTGAGCTGTGGGTGTGGGGCCGAGACCGCGCCAATCTGCCCTAGATCCGGGCCAGGAGGCGGGGCACGGGATGAGGGGGTAAGTGGGGCCCTGGGGTGCAGACCACAGCCAATCTGTCAGGGAAGCCCAAAGGAGTGCTGTGCCTAGACCTCATCTCCTGCCTTAGCCACCAGAGCCCAGTGCTGGCCCCCAGCACACTCACGTCTGCTTCCCTGGGGTGATGGAGAGTTGCAGGGGGGTTCCAGCCGGACCCCCAGAGGTCCTGTTCCTGGCACTGGGATCACCCTCGGGTCAAGGCCAAGAGGCTTTCGGAGCAGAGACGGGAGCTGGGTTCAGGGTGAGGGAAGTTCCACATGCCCTCAGACTGTCAAAGATCATTTCCATCCATCCAGGGCCTGCCCGTGCCCAGAGCATCGCCACCAGGACTGTCATCGGATGCCCAAGACACCGGAAAACTGGCCCAAGGGAGAGAGGAATTCACCTAGAAGCAGCCTACGGGCACTTGGGTTACAGGTGAAGACCCACACACCTGTCCCCCAACCCCTTCAGACCACCTGCTACAAGGTACCAAGGAGGAAAAAGTCCGGACTCTGCCCGATTTCAGCCTCCTATGTGGACAATCTAGAAAAATCCAGAATATCCTAGAATATTATGTTAAGAGTTGGGCGCACTTCAGGAGTCTGGCCAAAGGCAACCAAAAAATCCACTTTCTTTTATGTTCCATGATCTGGCAAGTTTCCCCAATTTCAGATCAAATGCCCGAGTCCACTGTCCTGGAACGTGAGAACCTTAGCCCCAGCTTGAAGAAAAGGGGCTGCGAGGGGCAGGAACAGTTAGGTCTGGCTAGACCTGCTGGGGGACACTGAGCCCTGTGTGCTGACCGCTGGTGAATAGCGGTCTCACAATGTTTGCCATAGAAATAGTTCTCATAGTTTATATTTAAGGCATCCTAAATTGACATCGCCAGCTAACATGCTGTTGCTTTAGTTTTGTGATGCTTATTCTTGTTTATGTCTCGTTTCTTCAATAAAGATAATTTTGGTTTTATGTTCAAGTCTTTTGAGTTTTAACTGGGATATTTAAAATAAATCTTTTCCTTAACATTTGAGGCTCATTCCTAGGGGGAAAGTGGTCAGGGGCAGACATGGGCAGAATCAGAGCTCCATCCCATCTTGACAGCTGATGACCCCATCCCCAAGCGTTTTGGGTCACCTGGGAGGAGAGGGGAGGCCAGGGAGCCTCCTGGGAATTGTGGGAAAGCCGTGCTTCTGACACAGACCCCGTGACCAGGGGGTGTGGCTGCCTGTGAGCAGCGATCCCGGCACTTAATGGGGTGTTGAGGAGTCACAGAAGCAGCCCCAAGTGGGCTGAGCCTGGACGTAACACGTGAGAGGCCCCGAGTTTGGTCCCTGCCACCTGGGTCCCTGAGCACCTCTGGATGTGGCTCTGGTTCTTGCAAAGCCTGGAGTAATGACAGAGGGACTCGGGGAACAGAGCTAGCAGCCAAGCAGCATGGACACGGAGTGAACCCCAAGAGGAGCCAGGGTAGGGGGGACAGCAGGGCTGGCAGTAGGCCACAGGGCAGGCTCCTGTAGACCCGGATGTGGCTGTCCAGCCCTCATGTGACAGGGTGGGGAGAAATGGGGCCCCAAACACTTCGGAGATGCAGCAGAAGAAGAGAGATGGGGTGGGAGAGGCCTCAAGGGAGCCGAAGACCCGCACCCCATCGCTGCAGTGTGTGGTCCTGGAATCCCAGGATCCCAGAAGCCCCGAGACAAGCTGGAGAGTCTCAGGATGCACCCCCAAGTCCTGTCCCCAGATGATCTGTGACCACCAGCTGGAAGGTCTGGGGACCCAGGCCCCGTGGGAGTGCTGTGGGGTGATTCCCCAGACAGAACCCCCTTCTCCAGCCTCAGCAGGCTATTCCCAACTGGTCTGGACAGGCAGGGAGCCAGGGAGCAAATCATTTCCCTTCCCAAGGGACATCACCTTAATTGCTAGGAACCCCCCGCCCCCCCCCCCCCAGTCTCTCTCTCTCTCTCACACACACACACACACACACACACACACACACACACACACAGCCTGTGCCTCTGAAGCCAGAATCTGTCCCTGGCTCCCGGCGACAGACTTGGGCTCTTGGAGGTCTGGGGACAGACAGGAGGAGATGGAGCCCCAGGCTGGTCCTGTCCCACATAGCCTTGGCCATGCCCTGCCTGTGAGGCATCTGCCTTGCCATTTCATATGCGCCACGACACGCCCATGCTCTCATGATCTCAGGCATCTCATGGTCCTCCAGCACTGCCAGGAATGACCAGAAGTACTGAGGTGGGTGTGAGCCCAAAACACTGACAGAGAGAACAGGAAGAGAGAACAGTGGGGACTGCAGGAGAGCACAGGAGGCACCAGAGTTCACCTCTGTCACCAAAAGGCTTTTTTGCCCACTGCTCTGGCCACAGGCAAGGACCATAGAGGTGTGACGAAAAAAGTGGCGTGAGCTTCAAAACACAGACAAAACCACAACTGCAGAAGATTCCAATCTGCCTGACCTGCTCTTCCAACAGTTGAGACAAGTGCCCACGCAGGAGGAAATGGGAAGGCTAGAGCAGCCCTCAACCACACTCCCCGATGCACATTTCTAGAACACGCCACACCCGCAGCAGAGCAGCCGGTACTCCCCGTGCACCCCCCTTTCCCCCAGAGAGGATACTCCCGGCCACAGTTGAGGGGCTCTTGATTTGTGCATCTGCTGTGCACGAGTCACAAAGAACCCTGACAGCCCCTGATCCACAGGCTCCTGTGAAGAACTGGCCTGTGTTCTCCTGAACAGTCTGTGAAATGCCTGTGAGGACACTGAGAAAGGATTCTGCCTTTTACCAACTGAAAGTTTGCAAGAGAAATGCCCTTTTGTCAGGAAAGATCCGTTAACAGGACTAAACACAGTTACTCCCAGAGAGAGCCGAGAGGGTAGAATGCAATCTAGGACGGAAGGCCCCGGAACTGCTGGACCAAGGAGAACCATCCCACCCACCTGAGCATCAAACCGTCAGAGCCCTAGGCACTAAAGCACCACAAGAGGAAGGCACCAGGCCAGCGGTACAACACTTGCCTTGCACGTGCTGACCCCAATTCAACCCCTGGCACCCCACTGGATTCCCCCAAGCCCTGGTGGGGCCTAAAAATGAAAAATACGAACCAAAACCAACAGCAAAAACACTGCAAGGGAGGCCTCCTAGACGTACTTTGTTATTCTGAGGCCAGAGACAGCACTCACGGCCAGAGAAAAGATGTTAATGGGGTCAAAGAGTCTGCCTTGCTTATGGTCACCTCAGCTCAATCCCTGCAACTTCATGACCCCCACACAACAGGGGCAGCCAAAAAGGCCCCTTCGACCCCACTATCAGGGTACCCCAGGGAATGCCCAGCACTACAGGACTCAAGAAGCACTGTATGCATCCTTACCCCAAACCCACAAGAGAAACAGAAAGAGAAGAACCAAGACTACAAGCAAACTTGAAGATGAATTGCAGATTCAACTACTGCAACAACATAAGAAGCTGTACCATGAATACGAACCAGAATCCTTACTCTCAGGAAACGCAGTCTGATCTGAAACACTCCAGTCTCAAAGGACCTGACTTACCACATCGGCTCTGAAATAACTGAAGGAGAAAGAAAAAAATACTCACAGACTGACCATGATCAAGCAAGTGTGGGATGAGAAAAAGCAAAGGGGACTGGAGAGGCAGTGGAGGAGTTACTTGCATCCATCCCAGCCCGACTGAAATCACCTGACCGCAGGGGCTGGGGCGACAGCACAGCGGGTAGGGCGTTTGCCTTGCACGGGGCCCACCTGAGTTCGATACCCAGCATCCCATGTGGTCCCCTGAGCACCGCCAGGAGTCATTTCTGAGTGCAGAGCGAGGAGTAACCCCTGTGCATCATCAGGTGTGACCCAAAGAGCAAAATCAATCAATCACCTGACTGAACATGGTCCTCCGAGGACCACCAGGGGTCACTCTTGAGCCCAGAGCGAGGACTCTGAGCACTATCTGGTGTGGCCCCAAAACCAAAAGGAGGGGGGAAAAAAGAGAATATTTCCCCCTCAAATCCTTGCAACTTTCCTGAAACCCTGTAGTTTTTTCAAAATAATATGTTGAAAAAAAATGCTAACAGGGGCCTACGCGGTACCTTAAGTGATAGAGCAGTTGCTTAACACGCGGAAGGCCTGAGTATGACCCTCAACACCATCACTGCACGGATGCCTGAGCACCGAAGGGGGAAGTACGGTAGCCCCTGGCACATCTGGTGCCAGTTTCAAGCTGCAAGGCTTGGGCACTGGGAATAGCCACCTCCCACCTCCTGCAGAGAACCACTTGATGTGCTGGGGGATCTGTGAAAAAATGCTAAAAAATGGGGACGAATGTAATGCAAATTATCACAGGGCCTCCAAACATCCTGGACTCTTGTATATAGGCCTGGATTTTCATTACCAGAGTGAATCTGGAAACGTGTCCGTCTGTCTAAATGACTGTCTGGGTACCAGGAAAACACACCTTAGTTCTAGTAACACCACAGGCCTGGGCTGCTCTGTGTACCGACCAGACGGTCCAACAGTTATCAGAGAAGTCAGCCCAGGCCTAGCAATTTTAAAGGTTCTGAG